TTGTGTATCTAAAAATATTTTCAAAATTTAAGCTAAATTTTGAAAACTACAAAAAAGAAAAAAAAGTTTTAAATTTTTTTTAATTTTTTAAATTTGACTAAAAATTCAAATGTACTTTTAAAAATGTGAAAACATACCAAAAACCAAAAAAGAAAAAATTGTCAGCAAATCAGTATAATTTAAGGAAAAAAAACAGTAACTAAAGACGAAACAGTTATCAAATAGACTCTAATTTCACCCCTTCGTCAAGTTTATGGTAGATAGGATGAATTTCAAAGTTTAAAGTTGAAGGTTGACTCATCCAACTGAGTATGACGATATATAAAATAAATTGTATTAGAATTTGACAAGAGGGAATTTTTTAAATAAAAATTTAAATTTTGATGTCAATAAAAATGTCGAGGCCTTAATTTTATTTTATGAAAATATATATGTTAGAGCATATTTAAAAAAGGTGACAAATTTTAAAATTAGTAAAACGTCTTGAATTAATTGTTATTATTACTAATTATGTTCACATTTCTTTATATTTCTTCCGTCAATTAATTTCTCATAACGATGTTGAATCTTTGATTTATGAATTAATTTTGAAATTATGAGATATGTTGGATTTTCTAGACATCTATAGGAGCTAACGATAGCTTTGTTGAACGACGAAGCCACACTAATCTAAAAAAGTCACAAATAAATTTCAAAGTATTCCATTACAAATGCACAAATGTGTCAAAGGTCAATAAATGATAATAAATTAGAACGAATTTTTTTTTATAAATAATTTATAGTTTCATTTATTAATGTTGCATTTGAATTAGAAGCCATTGAAAATGAATTTAAGCGATTAAATTATAAATTTAATGCACCATTTATTAATGTAACATTCAAACGAGAGAGATTGAAAAAGTTTAATTTTTTAATTATAAATTTAATCCATCAATTCGTGTAATGGTGTTGATATAGCTTTGGTTCAAATCTGTAAATAAAATTTTTTAATTATTGATCCAAAAATTTGGCTTCATAGAATTTTGTCAAATTTTGCACCAATCATTAATAATGGAATCGGGAACGAACGTCAACCTATAAAACCAAACTTGCAAAACCAAACAGCACTGAATACCGATGTGGCCTTAGCTACACATGCTCTGATGCTTTAAGTCAGAATCAGAATAGTTGAATAGGAATAGGAAGAATAAGGTATTTTTTGCGTACCTCTAGGGTTTAACTTGCTCATCTCTTTATATTTATAGAGGTTTAATCCTAATGCCCTTAGGAAACGTACTCTCTTTGGCCTGGGTATTTTGTTGAGGGCCATATGTTGAATTCAGGGCCGTCGGCCCATGGTAGGACTTTTTATTAGGGTTGAAGTAGGTTTGGGTTATCAGATGAACATTGTTGAAGTTTTCGACCGATTGGCTGGGACCTGGACGGTCGGGACTTGGACGACCGAGACCTAGTCATGTCATGGACCTGGTCATGCTCTAGATCTAGTCATACCTTGGATCTGGCTCATGGTCATGCCCTGAACCTGGTCTGGTCATGCTCTGAGCTATGAACGTGTGATGTACTTTGCCTGTCGGGTCTAACTCTATCTTCCCATAACATTAATAAAAAGATAAATAACCTCAATTTTTCACGAGAGAATGTGTCTTTTGGAAAGGAATGTTCTTTATAAAAAAGACAGATAATTTTATAAAAGAGGATGCCACTGTACTCTATAAATAGGTTGTTTTTTTTTCCTTTCAATTTTTAACATAGGAAAAATCTTCTCTCAATTTTCTTCCTATACTAATGCTACATTCACCAGTTATCTTATCTCGAGAGAAAATTGTTCATTGACACTTTGAACACCACAGAGAGAACAAAATTATCTTAAAGAAACAATGTTACTATTTTTTTTCAAACAATATTACTACTGGGTTAATCAAGTTTTTGTTTCCATAATTTATCCTTAGTTTCTAATCCTTAAAAATTTATAATTGCATTTTTCAACTTTTGGTTTTGATTCTTCTAAATCATTGTCGTTACTAACTTACTAAATATTGACTTAATGTGTGTAGATTAGATGAATGAACAATGATTTAACATAAACTAACAAAAATGAATAGACTAGTATGGTAAAATAAGATTGTGCGAGCCAAAAAACTCAACTAAGTTCAAGGATTAAAATAAAATTAACACCAATCTAATTTTCAATTTTTTTTAGAACATTAAATAAGAAATATGGAGGGAAGATTCAAAATTATAACATTTTTCACTTAATTATGTTGAGGTGCGAAGTCAAATTTTCACTTTACATTTTCAATTTCATTAAATTCAACTCTAAACTTCCATAAACATTATTATTATCGTTATTTTTTGTTAACCTACATTGTATTTGCCTACTAATTTAAAATAATAAAATAATAATAATAAAACGATGGATCATAAAAATATCACAAAGTTCAACAAATATCCAATTGAGCGTTATCCAAAATTCTATGGAGTTAGTCACCTTACCAATTTTTACCTTAAAATTAAAAAAAAAATGCACACTTATTTTGGTTTCAACTTTCAAGAACAATTGGTAAAAAGGAGTAAAAAACCTAAATATATCTCTATTGTTTCTTTCAATTTAGTTTTTAATCTATAATTTTTTTTATTTTATCCTTAATATAATTACAATTCTCAATTAAGTTATTTTGTAAAGAAATTTACTTAACATAAAGATAATTTGTCATCAAATATTTATTGTTCCATTAATATATTTAGATACATTGACATATCACTTGAAAAAAAAAATAGATTTCTTAATCAATATGTCAAAAAATTCTGAGAATGAGTGAGACTTAAAAATGTCAAGTAACATTCGACATGTTCACGTGTTTGAATATATTAATGAAACAATAATTTAATTGTACGCCAATTTTGTTTTGTTAACAAATTTTAATAAATTGTTTATAGAATGACCTAATTCATAATTTTAAGACAATTGAGAATTTTAAAAAATTGAGGACCAAATTTGAAAAGATTGGGATTTATCTTGTATATTTATTAAAGAAAAATCTAAGTTTAAATGTTATTTTGGTAATTGTTGTTTTGGCTTTGGTTCATTTGAATCTTGTAGTTTTGAAATATTAATTTTGATCATTGTATTTTGAACTTTATTTCATTTTGGTCCATATACTTTCAACTTTTGTTCATTTTAATCTTTATACATTCAAAAAGTCTGTTTTGGTCATTGTACTTTTGAAAAGTAACCATTTTAGTCTATATTTACAAAATTTTAACACAAATTTTATACCCAATTCAAACCTTTAATACAAGTTTATCTACATTTCAATAAATTTAGTGAGGGAGTGTCATACTAAAAGTTTAATCCAAATAAATGAGATAAAAATTAAAATTAAAAGATAAAAATATTCACTCTTCGAACAAACAATAAATAAAACGGATAGAAATATTCACTCCTCAAACAAACAATAAATAAAACAAACCTTTCAAAATACATAATTGAAATGAACAAAAGTTGAAGCAAAACAAATGCTTTGAGTGTACACGAATCAAAATCAACGAAAACTTACCAAAATAGTATTTTTTATAGATAGACAAAATCAAACCTGACAAAACTACTAGAGATCCTAAATGGACCCAAGAGAAAAAAAGTCCGAACTTAGAAGTCCAACAGAAGTATAAGGGCCTGGGCTCGACCCACAGAGGACAGACAACCCAGTCGACCGTAGCTGACCAGGGGTTAGCATCGATAACTAGACGGCGCCAACTAGGGGTCGGCCACCGGTCGGGACGTGCGGCTACGACCATCCGACAATCCTTGAAGACAACCTTAACCTACCATGCCCCAACGAAACTTTGCAACGAGCCGACGAACCTTCAATTTGATATTTGACCCACGATAAAGTATTAAAATTCAAAGAGCTAGGCTTCTTAGAAGCACACAAAGATTCGACCCCTATAAATAGAAGAGAAGACACAAAATCTCGTACAGTTGACAATCGTTAACTTTCAATTCTAACTTAAAAACATATAGCCTATGTTGGCAGGTTTTACTCGATCATATCATAGAAGATTGGTACGAATTTGAATCTCGAATATGCAATTTCTCCATCAACCACGTTTAAATAAAATATCTAGAAAGTGTAAAAAAGGAGAACAAGATAATTACAAGTCATATAAATATATAATTTTTGACTCGTTCAAGTTATATGAATATATATCTCATCATCTCTACGTGGCAAAAAGAAAAAGGAAACAAAAAAAGGGGAAAGAAAATCAGAGATGGAAGAAATAGAACGGCGCAGAGAATGATTGAGGAAGACGACGAAGATCGTTATCTGCAAAATTTCTCCATTCCCTTTCTCTGTCGCAAACTCTAAAGCAAGCCATCACCACTCCATTTCTACCCCTTTTCTCCCTCCGCCACGTGCCCCCAACCCATATTCCCTCTTTTCCCCAATTTCCATATACACATATATATATATCTCTCTACTGGGTTCTTCATCAATCCTCGAATCTAGCACCCCCATAACAATCTCATCTCATCCTCCTTCTGAACCAGCAAAAAGGGTTTTTCCCAGAAGCCATGGATCACGCGGCGGATGCCCAGAGGACGGATTTGATGACCATTACTCGTTTTGTGTTGAATGAGCAATCCAAGTACCCGGAATCGCGTGGCGATTTCACGATTCTCCTCAGTCATATTGTTCTTGGCTGCAAGTTCGTCTGCTCCGCTGTTAATAAGGTTATGTTCTGTTCTGTTTACCCTGTTCTGGGTCTGGTAGTTATGGGGTTTCGTGTTTTTGATTGATTGCATCGGATCAGTTTTTATTGATGTGTTTGTTTATTTGTTGCTTTGTTTGGGATTATGGAGGGATATGGTCGTATTGTTCTTGATTGCAGTTGGACGAACAGATCATGAATGTGGGGGGAAATCATTTAATAGTTGTGCTGGAAATCATAGTAAAATGATCATTTCCACTTTGAAAATTGCTAGAGTTTTATTCTCATAAATGAAAACCGAACTGTGGGGAAGTTTCAGTTTCAGTATTTTTTAAGGAAAGTCTGCTGAATTCAAGGCCTGAAATAAGAGAAGTCTTCTAATATTGCATTATTTTATTTTATTTGTTTGAGTTCAACGATAGTCTTATATTGCATTTCTTTAAGGAATATTATAATATTACATTATTTTATTTTATTTGTTTGAGTTCAACGATACTTGGGTGAGTGATTCGAACTACTATGCTCAGGTTTACATTATAATATTACATAATATATGTAGGGAGAGTACATTAGAAATCTACCATTGAGAAGTACTAGTTTGCAACCAGTTGAGCTAAATTCAAGTCGCAAATAGTTAAAGGAGAGCCTCTAAGATTTATTAAATGAGAGATTAAAAAGAGAAGAGGGGCAGTGGTGCTGAGGAGGAGAGAGAGAAAAAAAAGGATAGGGTTCAAATTTCTTACTATTTTATTACAATGTGACAAAGGTTACATTTTTTTTTTCAAAAGGGTGTCAATATTTGCTATTGTATTACGAAAAGTCAAAATTGTGTACTGGTTTCTTGGTAGGTCATCCTTCCAAATAACTGTCCATATGGTCCTAGAAGGATGCCTACAGCTCATAATTCAAAATTCCTAAAATACCCTCTTGTTTGAGAATTTCAAACTGTTCGGTATTTGCTTATATACAATATGCTATGCAACATACGGTTCACTAACCTGAAAAGTTCTTTTGCAGGCTGGTTTAGCCAAACTTATAGGACTTGCTGGTGAGACCAATGTTCAGGTAAGATGGTATTTCTATTTTCGAAAAAATGAAAAGGATTAGAGTCATCTCAATTCTCATACTAAAATCCCTTTTTTCTGTGTGTTAATTTTGATGTTCTGAGTTATGCCTTACATTTATTAATTTTCTTTAACAATAGGGTGAAGAGCAAAAGAAACTGGATGTGCTCTCAAATGAAGTTTTTATCAAGGCTTTGGTCAGCAGTGGCAGAACTGTAAGCTGCTGCAACCTGATTATACAAATTATAGGATTAGTTTCTGGTGATTTACTCTAACAGCTGCCATTTGGTGGCAGTGTATCCTTGTTTCGGAAGAAGACGAAGAACCAACATATGTTGAGCCACCTCGGCGTGGAAAGTTTGTTTTTCATCCCTCACGAATGCTTTCTACTGCTTACTATGATGATTATTATAATTAATTTTTTCTTCTTATTTCTCTATGGTGAAGGTATTCTGTTGTGTTTGATCCGCTGGATGGATCCTCCAATATTGACTGCGGCGTTTCGATTGGAACGGTGAAATATTTACCCTCTGCTACAACGAACTTGCTATCATTTGTGTAATTTTTATTTCTTTTTCAGATTAGCTGAGTCTCTGATCATTTGAATATCTACTTCTTTCAGATTTTTGGAATTTATCACTTGAACGACAGCCATGAACCTAACCTAGAAGATGTTCTGCAACCCGGAAAGAATATGGTTGCAGCAGGCTATTGCTTGTATGGCAGCTCTTGCACAGTATGGAAAATCTTGCTCTATGTATTCATTTTTACAGTATGGAAAATCTTGCTCTATGTATTCATTTTTATGTTTCAGTTTGTATCATAATCTTTTGGTTTTGAACTGGCCATTCTGAAACTATTGTCCTTGAGTCATGTCGAAAAATATATTTTCTTTTCTTAGTTGTAACATAATTTGTCTATTGACATTTCATCTTTTTGATTTTACAGCTTGTTTTAAGTACTGGAACTGGTGTTAATGGATTCACCCTTGACCCTTCTCTTGGGGAGTTTATTTTAACTCACCCAGACATTAAGGTAAAGAGCTTTTTAGTATCCTTTGATAATTTTCCTTAAAGAGAAGAACAAATATATTGGTAATTTATTCTCTGGCATTCTTTGATGGCATAAACCTTAGAAATGCACCTCTAATTTGCAAGTAATGTTTCTGCTATTGGTATTGTTACTATCATCTTTTGCTGCTTTTTGATTGTCTTGTATTTGTCTTATTTCTTCTGAAACCATCTGCAGATTCCAAAGGAAGGAAAGATCTATTCTGTGAATGAAGGAAATGCAAAGAACTGGGACGGTCCAACAGCGAAGTATGTTGAGTTGAATTGAGTTGTGTCTGAGTTCGAGTTATAAGTTAGTACAGAGTCCTAACTCGTTTTTTCTTTTAGGTATGTAGAGAACTGCAAGTTCCCTACGGACGGATCGTCTCCAAAGTCTCTGAGATACGTTGGAAGGTACCTAAGGATTTCTTTAAAGATATGAAACATTTCTTCAAGTCATCAAATTGTTCATGTAGTGTTTCCGACGTATTTAAGACTTTGTTTTCATTTGAAAAACTGTGACTTGTCTTTGAAATCTTAGTATAGGATATAGTAGCATTGAAGTTCTTATGGTACAATGCTTTGATTAACAGTATGGTAGCTGATGTCCATCGCACATTGCTTTATGGTGGTATCTTTCTGTACCCTGGTGACAAGAAGAGCCCGAGCGGGAAATTGCGGTACGTGACGGTTTTACACATACTTCTCCATTGCTCTCTCCCGTCTCCCCTGCCCTTGATACGTGTGGAATCATATGTTTTTTCTCCTATGCCAGTGTCTTGTACGAAGTTTTTCCAATGGCGTTCTTGATAGAGGAGGCAGGAGGTCAAGCATTCACCGGAAAAATACGGGTACCCGCTTCGTCACAAGGCTTAAACCTCGAGCGACACGTTCGACTTATTCTAAGATAAATGCACTTTGATGATTTTGCAGGCACTTGACTTGGTTCCAAAGAAGATACATGAGAGATCTCCCATATTTCTTGGTAGCTACGATGATGTTGAAGAGATCAAAGCTTTGTATGCTGCTGCTGCTGAGAAGGAATGAATATTATTAACTTCATAAATTTCAACAAATTTACTTGTCATTGTGGCAGCCTTCATTCCATTTTCCCCTTCCTTCTTATATAGTGTTGTTTCTTGTGATTTCATTTGTGGCCATAGAATTCCAATGTCTTATTGATTGTTCTTAGCCCTCAAATGTTAATGAATGCATAAAATGTAGCCACATGACTCGTCTTGTACGGTTTCGATGAACTCTGAAATTGTCAGAAAATTCGTCGTAGAATTACATGGAATTTTATAAAATGAAAACTTTGTTAGAATCAACTGCACATAAAAGTTGGTTGTTCATTTTGGCAATCTACGAACAGTATAAATATAGCTAAACATAATAGGTAAACGTCGATGCAAAATATCAATATTGATATTTTTGAAAAAGATATAAAAATTAAAAAAAAATCATAAAAAATATATACACATAAAAATTTAATAAGTTAAAAATGATTAATATTAATATTTTGTATCAGAAATATTTTGTTGATATTTTTTATATTTTATCGATTTTTTTTGTAATATTATAGAAACGTTGATTCACCCCTTTAATACAATGCCTAGATTTCCCTCCAAAGAAGGGTGGGAAGATGGAAAATCAAATCATTCTTATCATTGGGTTGGGCCAAAGAAATGCAAATTTAAGTTATACAGGCCCAAAAATTGTAGGAAGATGCAAAATCAAATCAGTCTTGGGCCAGAAACGCGAATTCAATTAATATAGGCCCAAAAATCAGTTCGGATTTGTCTGGCCCGTTAGGTTTTGGACTGTTGGATTGGTCTTTGTCAAATTTTTAAAAAATATTTTAAAGTAATTTATTGAAACTAATTAGATCATATCTTCAATTAAATTCCATTTTAACATTTTGGATAATCTGGTTTTTTTTTTTTTAATAAGGAAAGAAAATACCTAACTCAAAACTAGCTCGGATTGAGCAAGATTACACAAAACCACAAAGGAAACGAAACGTCCCACACTTCCGAAATTTCTTTTGCAGTTGCTTTCTTCGCCAAATAATGGGCAAAATTATTCTCCGCCTGCCACTCGGTTATGCTCCGCTTTCAACTGGATCTCTTCGATAAGCCAAAATATTTCAAATAGGTCGATCTCCTCTTTATTTAGAAGACGCACCACTTCCAAAGAATCGAATTCTACCATAATCACGTAAGCATCGTCCAAATTTATCGCATTGACTTTTGAGACCTTGAACAGCCATAGCTTCAACATACTTTACTGTCTTATTCCTTTTCCTTGATATTATAAACTCATTTTATTTTTGTTAAAATTAAAACATGTAAAATATAATATATTATAAATTATATAACCTCGTGCAATAAAAATTTATACAAAATTCATAAAAAAAATGTTGACAAATTAATTAATATTATTTTAGATTGAACTAAATATTTAGTTGGTAATTGCTATTGGTTTACAAATATAATGCTAAACACAGAACAATTTTTTAAATTGAGATCCAATTGTCAAATGTGCTATCGAACACATATCGAAAACACTGGAAACAAATAATACAACTTTATTTATCATTGAATCATTTGTTTTCAAATTTCTATTTTCTGATCCCAACGAAGCACATCCTTAATAAAGACACTGTAAAAAAGTGTAGATATGTGCTTGTAGCATGGCGAAAACTCCAAAAAACACTCCCACATATATTTACAAAACTTTAAATATTTAAATTGATCAAATCTATAAACTAATTTATAGAAAATTCCTTGTGAAAAAAAAAAAACCTAATTTCTCGTAGAATCTTTACAAGGCATTTCAATTCTCGTTCATACCTTTTCTTAACAAGATTACTTTTTTGATTTTTTTTTTAAATTTTTTTGACAACATTAATGATTGTTTTAAGGAATGAGTACCAAAACAAGAAAACCATCCATGTTCCTTGCCCTCCTTGACTCGTCGAAATCACTTGAAATGACCTCTCAATTAAATTATCACATCACTTTTTTTAAGCTTTCCTTTTTTCGTTCTTTTACAAAAGACTATATAACTTATATTATAATTATCTTCGAATTTTAATTAAAGAAAGAAGAATAATAGTGATAGTTATTTAAAAACAAAGAGCATCAAATAAAGAATGGTTACTAAATATGGTTTGTTTCATTTTAACTAAAAAGAATTAAGAATAAAACATGGTTACCATCCACTTTCTTTATCTTTTTTAAGAAAATAAAGATAAAAATAAAAATTGTCATTAAAAAGTGCCATAATGTTTTATCCTTCATTCAAATTGAATGATTCATATACTTCATGGTCACATAAAGTTTAGAAGAGTTATTTTTTCTAAAGTGAAGTTCTTTTGGCATATTTGTGCCATGTGTCTAGATTTTATTGGGTGTTTGAGAAGGAAGATTTTTCTTCTATACTTAAGTATTATCCATTGTAATCATTACACCAAAACTAATTATCAATTATAAAATAAGATAAGATAAATTTATAAAAAGTTTTAAAAATGCATAAACTTAAAAGGAGAGAATTAAATAATCAACATTTTTAAAATATACATTCAAAACTAGAAAGTGAAAAAGATATAAGAAAAAGAGAGGAATATACAAAGCCCCAAAAAACTAATATATATATATATGTATGTGTAAAATGTCTTAATAAAGAAGAAAAATACACAAATAATATCCAAAATTTTAAACATCAATGTCAAAAGTCTCCGTTTTATAAAAATATTGATTGAAATATTGATAAAATATCCATGTGATATTTTTGAAAAATAAAAATGTCATAACAAATATTTAAATGGACAAATAAGTATTTCACATTTTAAAATAAGTTAAATATTATTAATATAATTTTGTTTTATATTTTCTCTATTTTTTTTGTCATACTATGAAAATATAGATCCATCCTATGTCAATATCTAATCCATAAATATATAAAAATATTGATATGTTAACTAAAATTTAATACCTAGTGATATTATTAGAAAGAGGACCCAAAACGCAAACTTTTAAAATGAGTAAAAGATAATCTTAAAAAATAAAATCTGAATTTTTCAATGATTCCATCCAAATTTGCATAAAAAAATGGATTTTTATTATGAAAAATTATGAAAAAGGTCAATTGAGAATATTCACTTAGTTTATTTGGTACTAGATAATTTAGGACCCGTTTGATAACCATTTTAGTTTTTGGTTTTTTTTTTTTTAATTTTTGGTTTTCTGTTTTTCAAAAACAAAAACTATATATATTTGATAACCATTTTTCGTTTTTTGTTTTTAAAAAGTTAGAAAATTAAAAATACATATTAGAGAGAGAAAATTTTATGTAGAATAGAGATGGTGTGAGTGCGAGTGAGGATGCTCTCCCTCATTCTCGGGCTCGTAAAATTTTTTTGTCTCCGTCTCCACCTCCTTCTTTGTTCCGAGAGATGTTCAAGAGAAAAATTATCGGTTCTATAAATGTTTTTAATTATTTTTAGAATTTAAATATAAAACAAGTGTAATATATATTAATTATTTAAAAAATGAAATCGGGGACGGGGTCAGGACGTGCGTTTTCTATTTTTTTGGAACCCGACCCTACAAAATTTTTTGTCTTCCTCTAATGTAGAGACATGAAAATAGATATGTAAATAAACTTTTGGAAGATAATTTTTAGAAAGATAAATAAAAATATTTAGAAAAAAAATAGTAAAAGAAAAGTTAAAGACAAAAAGAGAAAAATTTTGGAGAAAAAAATAAAGTCAGGAGTAAAATATATGTTAAAGAAAAAAAAAAGAAATTATAAAGAAAGAGAAAAATTAGAGTGGAAACAAATTTAGAGATAAAAACAAAATTCAAAATATAATTTTTATATAAAATAAATAAATACAAATATAAATAAAAGTTATAGTGAAAGAAAATTGAATGAGAAAATAAAATATAATTTTTAGAAGAAAAAATAGATTACGGAGAGACATAAAAATTATAAAATATGAAATTTTTGAGAGAAAAGTTAGAAAAAATATTAAATTTTTAGAGAGAGAAATGAAACTATAGAATAAAAAACAAAAAATACAAAAAATTCTAGAGAGCGACACATAACAATAAATATTCAAAATAGGAAAATTTTAGAGAGATAAAAATAAAGTTTGGAGAGAGAAATTTAGAAATAAAAAAAAACCTATTTTTGAAAACTACTTTTTTTTTTTAAATTTACTTAGAATTTCAAAATGATTTTTAAAAAATAAAAAAGAGAAAATTGAATGGATTATCAAACAACCCTGTTTTTTAAAAAACTAAAAACCAAAAACCAAAAACAAAAAAAGAAATAGTTATCAAACAGACCCTTAATTGATGATTCTTAATGGTTTCATAAACAAAGGTTAAAATTTGTTAACAAACAATTGATGTACTATTAAATTATTTGTTTCCTAACATATTTGAAACACGTAAATGCTACTTAACACATGAAAAATCTCAATCCATGTTTCAACAAAATGTATTTATCTTCTAATTGGTATATAGCTATATCCCTACGTTTTATAAAACAATAATTTAACAAAATTAACCAAATTTTTATAACCAAAAAGGATCTAGATGAGAATGTTTAATACAATAATAAAAAATTATAAAATTGGGTGAGTTTTTTTATTTATTTTTATTTTTTTGTGTGACATATTGCTTGAGTGTTTTAAAGGAAGATTAAAAAAACAAAAAGAAAAAAACCATTGGTTATTTATTTATTTCTTTTTCTTTTGGTTCTTAATTTTTTTTTTTTTGAGTAATTTTTTGGTTCTTAATTAATTTCACATGGATGACACATTATATAGAGTTCAATATGTTACGTGCACTCACATGGCTGCCCCCTCCCTCCACCTTAAGCGACCTTTATTATTATTATTTTTTTAAATTCTTTTTCTTCTTCAGTATAATTCTTTTTTATTTTTCCATATTGGGCCCACCATGTTTGATCTTCAACTCTGGTGCTGCCACGTGTACTTGCCAACTTGATTTGATTGATGGATTCTTTTGCTCATGCGTGTGCTACCTCGCTAACCAATTTATTATTATTATTATTATTTCTTCTTTTCGACTATTTATTTCTCTACTGTCCACTATTAAATTTTTATACATGAAAAATAAAGAAGGAGAATATATAATAAACCGATAAGTATATTCTTTTCAATTGTTTAGTTAACAGGAAAGTATTGTTCATTTCCTTCTCTAATTTTAACATGGCGGTTCTAAAAGTTTTCATTTGATTTTTGTAATTTCGAACTAGTTTTACCAATAAAGGA